CGAACGAGGAAAATCGAGGTGCCCACGGCTAACGTGTACAGCAAAACCCCGCGAATGAGGACATATCGATCAGCAATGAACAAAAATCGATGAGCCCATGAGCAGAATTTCACATTGCTGGTCAATAACGGCGTTTTGCGCTTATCTCAGATGTCCAAAACGTTCGCGAATGCATAAATTCCTTCCAGTGCTCAATAACGTGCGCTCTAGATATAAAATACTGTTCAGAAGTCTCCATGGAAATGGTATCGGTTGTAATGCGGAAAACCGAAAACCTCAACACAAATCAAAAAGGTCAGGTTTATAGGTTGCCAAAGCCAATCCTTTTGGGTTGATATGCATCTGCCCAACAATTCGGTGAAGACCTGGTGCAAAATTAGAAAAGTAAAGTATCGCACCTTAATGGTCCATAGTCCTTGTTGTTGCTCTGGGTACTTCTACATGCAAAAAAGGACGCAAATGCGTTGATCCCAATCGGTGAACACGAAGGTGAACAGTATTATTCTGACGAATAATCCGGTTAACGAAGATTTCATCACTGGAATTGTACGGTCAAGAAATGGTGAATAAACCATAAAAGTACGTTAATTCAAATGGACGTGATAAATTTCGCAGGTTCTGACGCGTGTTGGCACGAGTGAATGAAGTGTCAATGTTTTTATCTTATTAGCTTTTGCCACCCACTCATAACCAACCCTAAATGATGAACTACCTAAGCCTCGAATTCAATATTTTATTGATCAGCAGTCTACCTCTCTAACCTCTGATCCACGAGCTCATTTTCTAGCCAGTTGAGATCGGAAAATAATGACGACTACTTTATATGCTGCTGCTGGCGGAGTTCAATAACAAGCCTCAAAACACGGCGGGCGAGCGAGTTCTCTGAACGTTCATCAAGCAGTGACGTCTTGACTGCTGGCAAGCTCAATTCTGGCGTCTTTCTGACGTTGTTTTGGTGGTGGCGGCATGTGTGATAAGTTCTGGCGATTAAACCATGTCAGCAGCGCACAGTAGTGGTAGCTGCTGGCGTAGCGTGCTGGTATGATGACGTAGATACGCGTAGCTTCGTGGTGGCATGTAAGTGACTTAGAGAGACAGAAACGGGTGTGGCCAATGTGGCGCCATCTATGGCGAGCAAATCAACGTCATCAGTTGCTGAAGTTTTGGCGAGATAATTTACATCAATAGCCTGAATGGGCAAGCAGTGAAACCCAGCTTGGCTTTGTGCATGGTGATCCGTCAATGCTATACTAAAAATGTTAGTTACGGGCTAATCGTGCGTTTGATGATCAGTGTTCCTAGCAAGAAGTTGTGGGTTGATAGTGTGAGCAAGCATTAAGACCAACGCACTCTATGTGTAGGCCATGCAGTCCCCCTAGTTCGGTGTCGTCCATTAGAAATAAAATCAGATAACATATATGACTTCATCTATCATATTATTGCGTTTGTTTAAAGTATAAGCAATAAGGTGGACCGCTAAGGTTGATACATAGTACATTAAAACATAAATGAATCAATAAAAATTTATTTTACAAATTAATCAAAGCAAAGGAGCACAAAACCACCTAAATAAATAAATATAACGAAGAATTTATCGCATGGTTTTTGTCAACATTAATTTGAGAGTCCGGAATGTCGAACATTTGACGGGAGGTGATTGTGATAAATAATCAAAGAGTGCACAGATTAACACGTACGCAAAGCTTTTTGCTAGACTTGAGTGAGGTAAAAAGAGACAGAAAATATATGCTTTATCTTGAGAGTATTACTGAGAAGGTGTTAAAGCTAACAACGTTAACCCTAACGACTGCGAACGTCTAAGCCTGGTTATCTAGGAGAAGAAATAAGTTATGAGAAGGCCAGAGTAGCAGGAACAGTACATTATATACAGACGCATTTAACAATAGATTGCAGTAGATTTGCTTCAAATGACTGCCGTCCGTTTCCTAGTCGGGTCGGGTCCGAAGTGATATCTGAGGGAAAAACCACGGCGTGCTCCATGTCCAGGCGAATTGATACCAACCTACGTAATTAGTAAGGTCAGTTCAGGTTTTATTGAGGGAAATATAGGTAAATACCTTTGAACACCCTATTGGT